AAAAAGAAAAACGGCAAATCTGCCAGGTGTGCTTCTGAACATTCACTGGATGCAGGAACTCCACCACAACGATGGACCAAACCACGATTACGCACATCAGCATCAGCGAACCAAAAAGGATTGCCTATGACTGTCGAGGCCAGGGGGCGGATCTTGAACAGCTCAAACTATCAAAGGCCACACATGGTACATAGATGAGGAGTTATTGAACCTGACTAATGAATCCAAGAGGAACGGGATCAAAGAACGTGTGCAGAACCCTTCTCTTTAAGATCAGGCCTTGAAGGAGGAGCTCAAGCCACTAAGTAACCAATAGAGCTCCGGCACAGAGATCACGAGTCGCCCCAATCTCACCAGACGAGCAACTCGAACTATCCTCGGTTGGCACTAGCAAGAACGACTTGTCCCAAAAATCCCGTGCATGCAAACACATGGGATAGGCCTGGTTTGGTTGCTGGGATGGGCCGTCATCCTGGGTGGAGACATTGCAGTCTGACTGTGTTCCCAAGCTTTCGCAAGCATTGAGAATTCAGGCTTGTCCTAGAAATAATGCCTGCCACTTGCACCAAATAACAGGTCTTATGAGGTTGGTTGCAATCTAGAGTCCTGTTTTAACATTTGCACACCCAAAGCTTTGGTCTTGGGCATTCTCTGCTCTCGTTTCACTGCTTCATTCATAAAACAGTTGCGTCAAAATTGCCACCAGTGGTTCAAAGGGTCTTTGATGCTGGAATCTCTTGACTCTCAACATGGACATGCTGCTGGGCAAGAAGCCATGCTGCTGGTGCAAAATAACAGCTGCATCACGTGTTTCAGACAGTAAGCCCAGAGCATTGTTTGGACTTGTGGCTGGCATGTCGTGTTCTCAGAGTCTCCATAGTCTAGATATACAAAGTGACTAGGACTGTCGCACAAAGAGCCTTGTCCTTAAACCAGTTTGTTGTGCCTCTCTTCCAGGGCATTGATGTACATAGATTTGGAAAGTGCTTGCAGGGCCCTTTTCAAGGTGGCCTCTTGTCTTTGCAGTCTGGTCAAACCTTGAGAGTGTCCATCTTGGCCAAGAAAAGAGTTTCACCGTAGTTTCGCTTGCGAATGTGTTTCATGGAAAACGGGTCCCAACGAGGCGGTCCATCCAATCCGAGGTTCCGCAAAACGCTCAAATTCACAAAAGGTGCCAATATCAGGCCGGTCCAGCCCGCCAGCATGGTGCAGAAGTCCACCAAGTTCCAGACATTCCTCGCCTCACAAGGTCTCATCTTTCCCCTCTTCCCTCCTTCCCGGCTAACAAGGCAGAACCTGCCTTAACAGCATCTCCTAAGCCAAAAACCTTGACCTTTTTGCCTTCAAAAATGTGATATGCTTGGCCAACCACTCCAAATTTGTGGCTAGCGGCGTACAGGCTTCGCTCGACAAATGCCCTACAGGCACATTCTATCGTGTAGACCATGAGCAAGGCCAGATTGGCATTTTGCAACCAAGGGATCCTGGGATGAGCAATCGGGCCCATTTTTCACAAGACTGGCCCCTTGCAGTGGAGGATGGGCAACCCCAACACAACCCCAAAAACAGCCATGATGTGTATACATGTATATGTATATATGTACATGTGAGGATATGTATGTGTATGTGCATATGTATATATATATATACTACCCCCCCATGACCCCTGTTTTGAGTGATTCTTGCAAGATATGTAGACTTGAGCTTCTACTTTTGACTTGCTACAAAAAAAAGGAAGAAGAATGTACAAGGGATTTTGATTGGGACCCAATTACAAACACATAGTTGAAAACAACAACACACCCACACCAACTCAACATCAACATGTTAACTGATGTTCTTGAAGATTTGAAAACAATGTTTGATTGGAAACCAATAGAAACCTATAGTTCAATTGATTTTACAATGGATTCCATGGATGTTGAAAAGGCCGCTGCATAAGTAGGGCGCTCCTAACCAAAAGCTCATATACATACGATATGGTCGTTCAAACCTTTCTCTCCAGCCTCAACACGGTTCTTCTATTGCTCTTGAGCCAAAGGCGCTCCAATTGGCAGTTGTCAATAGAACTGTCCACATAAATATTGTCGACCCCAGCAGCAAATTCCCTACAAAGGCTGAAGGAGGTAGTTGTCACTGACGCAAGGTAGACATAGGTACGCACTTCAGGAGGCAAAGTACCGAGTACCAAGTCCCACTCCCACAGTCCAATATGTATGTATGTAGATATACATGTATATGTAAGTATGTATGTATATATATATATAATATATATATATGCGTATTTGTGTGTGCATATGGTCACCCCTTCTTTGTTTGAGAGTCTTCTCAATTGTGTCTTTAATGGGGGTCCCGGCGGGTTTCAGGGGATGGATGGATGGATACTCGGAAACATAAATGCACCCAATATTACCTGATGAATTTTACTACATGGTCAAGAGATCTGACTTTTGAAAATCAATAAGAATTGCACTAAGATTGTATGCAGCCTGGATTCAAGCTACTGCGACTTGGGCATTCCTTGGTGTTCTCGCTGAAGAGTGGATAGCAACTGGCATCAGCATCTGTCTCGACCACCATAAGCCTTGAAAAGGGCCACAAGAGTTTCATTTATGTTGGATGGCGCAACACGGGCGCGCATCGTTGCCACGGAAGTGGGTGAACAAGTCCCTGGTGCTCGCGGTGTGAATCCTTTAAGTTGCTGCAATCCCTGCAAAGCATTCACCAAAGTGAGCTTTGCATGTGCTCGCCACATGATGAATGCGAATATGCGCCTGTTTACACATCACAAAACAAACCAAAAACTACTCTCCACCAATGGCTTACCTCTCAGTTTCCTGTTGCTTGATGCAACTGCTACATGAATGGTACATTGGTACGTGCATCGCAACCAATGAAAAGAATTCTCCGATCAACCCAAAAAAAGCGTTCACCCCGCGTCCGCCCTGACGCGATCGACCCAAACCGAAGTTAGGTCTCGGGACATGAGATTTACAATGATCACCAAACCCATCACGGTCTCAAAGGTCTGACTCCTCACGGTCAAATGAAAGTGCAGAGTGCGCACTAAATCAGAAAACTGATGGCTTCTTGTTTCTAATAGCTTCTGGTTACTAGTAGTAAGGCCAGGAGCCCATAGTAGCGTCCTTGCTCCTAGTAGTATGGCCAGGAGCCCCTAGTATCGTTCTTTGTTATTAGGTCTCAAAGGTCTGACTCCTCACCACTTTTGCCATCTGCACACGCAGTATCGACCACGATTCTGCGTCCATCCATGGTTTCTGCTTCTCGGCATTCTGGTATCTGAACGAGTCCTGCAAAGTCAACGAGTCTGAGCGCCCACATTGCAAAGGTTCCATAATGAAACCAGATCCTTTCTACTTGGGCTCTATATATGTATGCAATTGTATGCTAGTTGCTTCGACCTGCGGCCGGGCAACACGCTCGTCTGCGTTTCCCGTGGACTCTTGAGCACGCGTGATCGTATGCAATTGTATGCATATATACTACTGTGGGACTGGGGGACTTCCCTGTCACTCAAATGGCTTTGCTTTTGAGCATGCTGAGTAGCTGAGCAGCTTGGCCTCGTATTCGATGGGCAACTAAGTGGCAAGCCCCTATCGCAGGCGTGTGGAACAACCTGATGGATTCTCCTTCGCTCTTGTGTCAACCCAAGCCGCGCATACCTTCTCAAAAAGTCAGATCTTGATCAATTTCCACGATGCAAAATATGTTGTTTTCCGTGTGACCTCAGAAACAGGGCATCTGCTTCCATCCTCTGCTTCCATTCTGTTTGACAAATATCCACCAACGGAGACCCTACTTCCTGATGGCGAAACTGGAACAGAGCTCTCTCACGACATACCAGCATTTTGGGACGCCCTGCATTGTATCTGAAGTTATTCCAATGGGCCCGTGCTTTTGACTTGGCACGTTTTGCCACTCACCAGGTTCTTCACTTTTTTTCCACTAGCAAAGGGTAGTGTGGAGGCTGCACTCTGCAAAGCTGTGGCAGCTATGCATTGGCAAAGCCTCATCAGCTCTTCATGTGTCACAGCTGATCTGAAATAGCAAAGTCAGAACCGAAACAAAGCGTAGGGTCTGCCACAAGGGCACCAACGAAACAACGGTCAATAAATTCATTGCTCCAAAATGTCTGTGCCCTTGGTGCACGGGCGATACTACCCACAACGAGCATGGATTTGTTTCTGTGTTTTCGCAGGTGTGGGTACTATCGCTCGTGGTCGACCGTAGAGTCCCATTATGACCACTTGAGACAGTGGATCCCACCAAGTGCACGAGCATATGGTTCTTTCTTGTGCGGAACACCCTTCTTCATGGAGCATGGTGGTGTTTCCCTCCGAATCACACCAAGATAGGGAAAGTGTTCACGAAGTATGACCGCTCCTTCTCAATGACTGAAAGGGCTCTTCTCAAGTGTTCCTGGGCAGTCAGCGTGTCAAGAGGCTTTGCCTCGGAATTGGTGAACCGGCCTTGTGAGGCACCTACATTCAATTCTTCCTTGCTGACAAATCAACTCTTGGCTTCACACGAGAGGATTTCAGTGATGATTGTCTATGATTGTCTGCACGACTTGTCACTCTGCCGCTCTCAATTCCATACAAACAATCCCGGCCTTGTCCAGGATACTCTGGCGTCCCTTGGCCTGAGTCGCATTGAGCGAGGCATGGGACAACGGAGTGGTTGACCGAAGCGAATTCACCATGGCGCAGCGCTGGCGCGGAAGCCGCCCGCGCGCGCGCCGGCTGATGTCGGTGGCGTGGGTCGGTCGCTGCGGGTCGCTGCTTGGGCCCAAAGGAAGACGCGACGCGGATCTTCGAGTAAAATCCTTCGACATCCTGAGGAACACTCCGATCTTCGACTTTCAAGCATGGATGGATCGGAAGCCGTCGCTGACAGTTCTGTTTTTTGTTTACAAGGATGGAAACTGACGATGACTCCAGGCCTTCACTCTTGAAACCACCGAGGCTGGAAAAACTTGCCTCATGTAGAATTCCCACACTGCGTCCAGAAATCTGCCAATAACTTGAGACCTGGGAGAAATCACAAGTTCATGCGCATGCAGAATCCATCAACCGAATCATCAGCCAGGTAACCTTTGACTGTGAGAAACCGCTCTCCTTATTACCATGAATCGTACGAACACTGAATGAACCCTTTTTCTACACAGTGAATAGAAAGGAACAAAATGCACTGCCATGGCAAAGTTTCGTGGTTGACTGCATCTGACTCTTCTGGCCAATCGCTCTGCAGTTGCTGGGGTTCAGGTGTAGGACCCAGTAAGTCTCTTGCTGCAAAGTTCTCTCTCTCTCTCTCTCTCTCTCTCTCACGTGCATTCCCAAGAGTGGATGCATTTTGTGGAAACTCACACGTCCAGTGCTTTGAGCCCAGCAAAAAAATGTGCCAGGCCACTACTTTGGCAAGGCGGGTCAAGGTCGCATCCAGAGTCTCCAAGGCACTGGCAGGACCCTGATCAGCTCAAAGGTGAAACGTTTATGGCACTCTGCACGTGTGTATGGTCTCCCTCCAATTTGGCCATATTGCAAACAATGGTTTTGCAAATTTGGAAGAATGTCGAAGACAAAACCCGCTGAAAATGTTGCTTCAAGTGCATGATTGGATTGGCTGTAGATTGGGTTGCCTCCCTAAATTTGGTTGCTGGAGAAGACACAGCGCCCAAAGCCACCCCCATTCACAAGCATCCAACCGCAAGGCGTTGGAAGACAATGTTCGTCCGTGGCCATGAAGAGTTGGAAGGTGTGCTGAGTAGAGGAGTAGAGCAAGGCTGATACTTGCCCGGCAGAAGCAGGCCGAAGCAGGTGGACTTGAAGAGGAAGATGGGGTAAGTTGCGAGCAGCTCTTCTCCTTGCATGGATGCCTTCTTGAGTGAGCGGCTACCACATCGTTGGATTGTTCGCTGAAGCTGCGACTACATGGGACAAGTTGTTGCCTTCGGTGCCCAACTTCGATGGCGTTCATGGGTTGTCTTCGAACCTTTCTTCGTTCTTTATAGAGCAGCAGAGCGGTGAGCATTCTTGAAGTCACCGCTCAACGAAGACACATTAAGTTTATTGTGATATCTCCCTTCTGTTGCTAGAACAATCATTCCGGCCTTGGCAGCTGTTATGCATTCTGCCGACAGTCGTCGGTTGCGCCGTTGAACTTGACTGGTTCGCCTCTTGAACCCAACGTGAAGATTCTACGGCAGTTGGACACAGTTTGTACCCGTCCAACAATAGGCCTAGCTTGTTTTCTTTGGCTTCTTACATCTCGGCCGATTCTGTGTCACACTGTCTCGAAGAAGAGAGGACATGTGCCTAGCTATGTGAGCTTGTGCGAAGCAGGGACCAGCAGGGCCTTGGGACGCTAAGGTCAATGAGGATGCAGAGCGCAAACAACAACACAAGCCACTAAAGGCATGGAGAGGCAATAGAAGAGTGTGTAGCTGTGAAGACAAAAGAACACAGGCTTCCAGGAAACGCCTCACCGTTCACAACGCTGGTAGACCACTTCGACCACTTACTACAGAAACATTCTGTTCAAACGAAATCAGCCCACCGGGTTTTGCGTGCTTGGTGTGAAACTATCAAATCAGCTGCTTTGGCCACCTCTCGGCACAAAAGGGGCGAAGGCAGCTCTGCAATGCGGCAGGACCTCGGACGACTTCCGGGGTCGCGACGAGCCTCCGCGACGGAGCGACGGAGCGGCGGAGCGATGATCGTTCCCAGAGAAACCCGCCCCAGGATTCTTCCGCTTGGGTTTTTCAAGTCACAACACCAACAGATCTCCAACAAAAAAGGCCTTTAGCTGGAACGATGATTAAGTTGGTCCCTCTCTTGCAAGGGGACAGCCCTGCTCCGAATGCACACAATCTTTGCTGGCTCCTCATGAGCTTCCGAACACGTGAAGGTCTTCAGAACAGGCTCCAGGTCATTTGTCTTGACTGCTCTGTTGACCACCCGCACTTCTGATATCTGAGAAATCTCGGAGATGTCTCTTCCGAAACAAGTGGTGAATGTGTGCGAATTGTATTAGTGGTTGACATCCATGATCTTCGAAGACATGAAGCTCTCCACCAAAACGTGTCTTAGTCACCAGCCCTCGTCCCAGGAGGCCGCTGCGGATCTCGTCCGGAAGCACCCGGAAGCTGCCCAAGTGCCATCATGTTTGATTCACGGTTATATCGGCCTGGACCTTGGATTGTCCCTCCTACCAGTGATTTCCCAATCATTAATCTGCTTTCAAGCCTTAGTCCAACAAAGCGTTAAAATGAAATCTAACGCTATCGTCAAGGATCCTTTGTAATCCAGTAAAGCCAAACCGATTCTTTTTGCCTTCGCAACGTGATTTTGGTGGCACACCCAGAAAACCGTCTGTCAAAATCTTTCACCACCTTCGGGAGTTCCCCCGTCCAGTGCCTGCCATGCTGCACAAGCTCCGCAACCTCGCTCTGGGCCTGATTTCACAAAAAAACGAACCTGCAAAAACGATGAAGAAAGTCTATTCTTCTTACCGGCCATTAGAAGTCCACTTCGCGTGGCCAGTGACGGTCAGTTCTCACCCTCTTTTACAACAACTAAATAGCTTTTGAGGAGGAAATTGGACCGTGTGAGGTGAGCAAAACGGGCGTTCACTTCGGAAGCTGCAACAAAAAAAAACGTTTGTCCTATTGATCCCCCTTTTCTATCCACCAAGTCGTAGATGAGGAAGTTGGGAGAGGATGGGACAATCGAGTTGGCTGAAGTCGCCTTCGGTCTTTTCAATCCTCTCTCCATTTCGGTTGGATGGTCCGTCAGTCTTTTGAAGACTTCGTCTCTAATTTCATCTCACTTCTCCTCTGTCCCACATGTCGTTGAACGGCTTCCCTCTGCCGGGTTCAAAGTCTATCTTCTATCCAAACTCCTAACAAACCTCGTTTGGCAGGATGGCAAATCCTTACACACATTGGAAGAGCTCTCGACATTGGTAGCATTTGTTTTGCAGCAGGTTGGAGCTTTGCAGCTTTATGTGGCCTTTGCGACACATTCAATGATCGAAAGCACATCCGAATCCGGCCACGCCCCACATGTACTGCATGCGCGCAATACCCACCACAGGCTACCATGCTGTCTAGAGGAAAGGGTATTCGTGTTGCACACACTGTAGAAGCGAAACGTTGATTCATGCGTAGGAACATGCGTAAAACATACGCTGTATACGAGAGATTTGGCTAGATTCAGCCGAATTGAATGTAATATGTTGGATTAATGTTGCACACAGGTACAAAAAGAGGGTTGTTCAAAGCTCGAAAGCTTTGGCGTTCATTATTCTCACTTGTCATGGACCAGGCCTGCAGGATTTGTAGCTGCAATTGAGTTCGTCCATCAATGACGCAATATCCCTGGAACACGGGCTTTGGCCCAAAAAAACAAAAGGCATCAACACTGCACGTCCTCTTCATAGGAGTCAACCACACAATCGTTTGCAGGTACAACAAATGCAGCACAAAATGAATTGAACTGGTCAAAACACATCCACCGTGTATGTCTACTTGCTCCAGAAAAATAAGCACCAGCTTGCAAAAAGAATGAAAAGTAACCACTGTACGCACCTGTGGTACTATCACTGCAGTGATGATGAATGTAAGATCGCCCACAAGCAAACTCTTTAACTGAGGGAGGAGAAGGAAACACAAAATGCACAACTACCCCACAGGGGGCACGACATAAATATTTGGTTGCTTTTGGTTGCCATACTCTCACACCAGCATCTGTCAAAGGAAGGATTCTGTTTGGTGTTGGTCACTTGTGGAGTTTTGGCCTCCGTCAGCAAGGCTTCAACGTGGTTTTGCGAAGGCAAAACCTCCATGCCATGGACGCTGCATAGCTGTGAAAGCCAATACTCTGACAAAACAGAGTTCTTCCATTCCGTCACCAACACTTTGAAGCATGGTTGGACTAGCGCAGTGTCCTTCAGGTTCATGTGAAGTATCGTGCAGCTGCATGAACTTTCCCAATGTGGAAACCCCTCCGTCGGAACTCTTGTGAATGCTGTAGCTGCCACCGGCTCCCAGCTCAAAGTTTTTTGAGCCATCTGTCTGCACCGCAGAAACATGAGTTGAAAGGGTCAAAATCAAATCATTCTCGTACTGAGTTTTCCAATTGCTGTGCACATCTAGCCACACCATCATGTCCAAATGAATACATCAAGCAATCAGCCATTCGTAGCAGCAGCAGGAGGAGCAGCAGCAGAAGGAGTGGTAGTAGTAGTAGTAGTAGCAGTAGTAGTAGTAGTAGTAGTAGTAGCAGTAGCAGTAGTAGCAGCAGCAGTCGTCACCACCGCCGTTGTCGTCGTGGTCATAGTGGTGGTCGTAGTGGTGGTCACAGTAGTCGTAGTGGCAGCTGAAGCCGTATCCCTAGCCGTAGCCCCAACCGTGGCGTAGTCGTAGCGCTGGTCGTAGTCGTAGCCGTAGGTGTAGTCGTAGTCGCAGTGTAGCAGCAGCAGCAGCAGCAGCGGCGGGGGTGGTGGTGGTGGTGGTCGTAGTAGTAGTAGTAGTAGTCGTCGTCGTCGTCGTCGTAGTAGTAGTAGTAGTACTAGTAGCAGTAGCAGTAGTAGTAGTAGTAGTAGTAGTAGTACTAGTACTAGTACTAGTACTAGTAGTAATAGTAGTAGTAGTAGTAGTAGTAGTAGTAGTGAAAGTAGTAATAGTAGTAGTAGCAGCAGCAGCAGCAGGAGTAGTAGTAGTAGCAGCAGCGGCAGCAGGAGCAGTAGCAGTAGCAGTAGGAGTAGGAGTAGGAGAAATAGTAGTGGCAGTAGTAGTTGTTGTTGTTGCTGTCCTTGTTGTAGTTGTTGTAGCGGTGCTTGTAGTAGTACCGTAGTAGTGCAGTAGTGACTGGGCTTTGTAGTTGTCATCGTAGCAGTTGCAGTCATGGTCGTTGTGGTCGAGTCGTCATAGTAGCTCGCTTCTGGCTGTTCCTACTCCTATTCCTCCTTCTCCTACTTTTTGCCCCTACTCCTACTACTGACTACTGCTGCTGCTTGTTGCTAAGCCTGATAACTAACCACCAACCAGTAGAGGTTTCCCCCGCGTCTGAAACCAGGATTTCCTGCAGTAGACAGTTTTCAGATGGGTCCCAGAAGTTCTCAATGCCAATCAATGGGTCAGATTTGAACCCAAACAAGCCCCATGGTTCAAGCTCAGCTAAGGGTTCACATGCCAAAATAAGGTTGTATGCTATAAATTAAGGGCTCATGAAGGACAGTTCCTGTTGTTCACTACCACAACCTAGCACTCAATAGTCTTTAACAGGATCTTGTTAGTATGGAGTCTCTTGAGCAACTTCTGGGAGGCAGCGGGTCAGGTGCTACTCTTACTACTTCTCCTACCACTCCTGCTATTCCTACAACTCCTGCTACTGCTACTGCTGCCCAATTTATAGCAAGGCATGTAAAGGCTGTACCAGTCAATAGGATGCAGCAAGGCCAGCATTTGCAGAAAGTATTCCTAGCACTGGGGATGATCATCACAATGGTCACATTGTGGGTAAGAGTAGATGGTGCAAAGTTTCCAAATACTCATGAAACACCAAACTCTTTCTGAACAGTTTCCAGTACTTTGCCAGTCATGATGCGTTGTGGCCACCAGCTTTCACCCAGAGTGTATCGACTGAACAAGTGCCAATCATGATTGTCCATGTTTCAAGAGCACCCGCCAACACTGCCACAACAATCACAAAGGCATAATTACCCTTCAGGACAACCGCCCGCCAAAAGAATTTTTATCAATGATAAATTGCTCACACTTGACCAGTTGACTATAGGCAATATGGGTGAGAAGCAAGCCTTCAAGCCTCCATGCGGACCAACAGTCGCATTGAGCAAGGTCTGAAGCTGGTGCAAATGATCCTTTTCCTCTCTGCATTCTCTCATGGATCGTCCAAAAGCTTTGCAAGCTTCTCGGTTGAAGTGCGGGCCACCGGCATCAGCTCTTCTAGAAAGCGGTTGGCATCAGCACCACCACCCTGACAAAACCAATCAGGGGAGGCAGTGCGGCAACCCTCCCAGAGAACTGAAGTGCAACTTCTACTTCAAAAGAAAAGGGAGCCCCTAGTAGCGTCCTTGCTCCTAGTAGCGATGCCAGGAGCCGTAGTAGCGTCCTTGTCTAGCTTGTCAAGCTACTTCTTCATCACTTCATAAACTTTTGTCACTTCACTCTCTTCCTTTTTTGGGGGGCTGTTTTCCCGGCCTGATGAAAGACCAGCCATCGTCCATCCACCAAACACAGAGAGACTGAGGCGCCCAGAGACTCCTCAACGGCACAAGGGTCCTGGACCCATTGGCCGCCTGCGTGACTGGCAGTGACTGGTCACAGGTTCAAACCGTCTAGATCTCTCCAGTCGCTTTCTTGGCTTTCTTTACTAGATTACTAGATGATAAACTACATCTCTTGGCCTGGCATCCGAGCAAAGGTCACAGGCAAAGGTCTCGCAAGCAGAACCAATTTGCGTGCCTGCACGATCGCCAATTCTCGTTTAGTATGACTGCAAGACGAGAAGACAAATTTAAGTTCTACACTTCTACACAAACAAGACTTCCTGACAGCCTGCGCTCTTGGGGTGACAGACTCTGTGAAAGGCGATGCGGCGGTACATGGAGTCCATGTGCAAAGGCCAAAGACATCCCTTCTCAACGAGTTCCGAGAAAACCGTCCTTCTCAACAAGTTCTCCTCCTTTCAAAACCGTACCGAGCCCGACAACCGCGTTTGAAAACGCTTCTCCGCGCTGCTGAAAGCGCTGCTCCCCGCCTCCGCGACGATCTCCGACTCTGCGGGAGCAATCGCCAACCTCTCGGCCTGGCTTTCAAGAGGTGAAAGCAAAAATAGCTGGTAAGAAATGGTACTTGAACTGATTCAACCAGAACCTCCAACCAGTTGAGTCTTGGTGTTTGAACTTGCTCTCGACAAAGGCGACCTGGGAATTCAGGCCTCCGTTCCAGGCTCCTTCATCAGCGCTGGGAGGTCGGTGTCCTCACGGAACAGGAGAATGTTCAACACGTGTTTTCCGCCAGCTTCTAGTTCAAGCTATTAGGTTGGAGGCCATCATCGGGCGTCATCGTTCAACGTCCCTACCCGACTCTTCATTGGGAGCCTATGATCACCTGCTGGAGGCAAGTTGAAGTTAGTCCTCCAGCGCAGCTATAGCTGCAAGGAGGCAAAGGTCAAAGGCGTTGCCATCATAGTTCAGGCAAATAATGTGCACATGAAGCACCCAGGATGCTTCGCCTTCGAGCATTCTTTGATGTGTTGATGTGATGCATGTAAGTATCCGATTCGCAAGAACAAACTCTACAAAACAGGAGTGCATCATGATATTTTTGGACCAAGTCACCATGGCATACCAGCTGGGTGGCATCAAAGACTGATTGCAAATTCAGGACCTCCGTCAGAGTCTTGGACAGGAAGGACATTTGGCCAAGCCTCGACACTCAAGCTTGGCTTTTACACATAAGCACACTGCGTACCAAATGGGTGCTCTGCACCATGCAAGGAATGAAAGAAAGGCATCTCAGCCAACCAATACTATATCATGCAAGTTGTACATCAATGAATCAATGAGTCTATTTTATGTGCATACATACTTCCCAAAAAATTGTTGGTGCAAATGCCGAAGACTTAGCGAACTCCTATATATATATATATAAGCCACCGGTTGCTAGAGTCCTGCTAAGTGTGACACATCTGGTATACCTCGAGCCTTTTCCATTTCACATGATTTGGCTGGCTCTGGTGTCGGCTGCCAATCTGAACTTTGAACCTGGATAATGTTGTAAGAAACACTCTTACAATGAAACACAAAAATAGTGCTTGCGTCATGCAAACATGCAAGAAATTGAAATTTCGAGCCATCGAAGATTGAATCCAGGCTTCTTTCTGCCCAAGGCACGCGCGGTGCTTCTCCCGGAAGAGAGCAGAGCAAAGCGGCGGCAGGTCCACCGAGACCTCGATGCGACCTATCTCATCCTGGCGCTGGAGAATCAGACGGATCCTTTGACTCCAAACAAGTCTTTGGGTTTTAGACACCATCAACTCATCTGTTTGAAGGCCTCATTGTGAGTTGGGAAGTTTGACCGTCACACTGACAGGAACCCTCTGAGGTTTGGTGGCACACAACAAGTGAGGGTAACATGGGCATATTCTGTTGGAAACTCTTTTGGTCCACAAATCATCGCAGGCCGGCGGACCAGCTCTCCGCGCACACCGGCCAACGCACTGGAGCGGCCCAAGCGGAGGGAGGCCGAGCCCAAGGCGGAACCTGTACAGACAGAGCAAGTTCGTCGAGTTGAAACACCTGTCGCTTGTTGCAGCAGCACTGTACCCCAGAAAAAGTTTGTTCTCTATCCTCCACGTGTTCTGGTCCGAAGCATGCTATCCTATTCAAAGCTGCAACCACCCTGACCTAAAGCTTTCCGCTGCAGCTCCGCTCTCCGTGGCTCCCGCAAGGAGCGGCCATCGGGTCGCAGCCCATCGGCCAAGAAGTGGCGGTAGAACTCCTAACAGCGGCGAAGACGAACGGAGCAAAGCCAACCTCCCAATAGTCCGCAAGTAGTGACACCAACATAGGTAGAAAATTGAGGAACCCCTCAAAATGTCCCTTGGAGTCCGCAAAACGATTTGAGGACCTCTACACTCTTGTTGAGCAATAGGTAGGTAGGATTGGTTGTGCTGGCATAGACCCTGCACGCGGCCAGCACCTCGGGGTTGAACCGTTGGAGGAGATCAGCATCCATATGGCAAAGCTATGTTTCTCTACCTAAACATTTTCTTTTTTGCCAATACTCATCTTCTTCAATGTTCCATCGACGTCCTGCTCAAAATGTACTAGAAGTGTGCAAATTGGCTGCCGTTCTGTCCAAGTGCTCAACAGCAGGTCTCAAAACTGTTGCAAAACCAGGTACTGTACGTAATGAGTCGCGTCAGATCATGTTGATGGGGGCAGTGAGATCGTGTTGCACTGGTCCTGTCAGGTCCTTTTGAGCAATTTAGGTTCAGGATGAAAGCACGACCGGGTATTACACACCGACACGAGGAGATAGGACTGAATAGCATAAACACATTGTCCAACGATACATCTGGTGTCCCCCGCTCGTCTCATGTCATTCTGCCCATGAAACTCACACAAAACAAAATGGCATGTTCCCCTGTTCTCTGCAGGTGGAGCCAAAAGGCAGGCACGTCTGATTCGGGTTTGGCCGTCTTTCTGACAATCGTATATAGTCAACGAACATCGTAAAAATGATAAACAATGTGGCGTATGCCTGACGATGAAGTGGTGTGTGTGTGTGTGTGCACTACCGGGCTTAAGTACAACTTTTGCACAAAGGGTAGTTGAGAAAAACGAATGCTGTTTCATCACAATCGTACCGCCGTGAAGATATGGGAAATGGGTGCTGCAATTTTGCAACAAGAGATGTTGAAAACCCTTGCTTTTGTTGTTCAACATATGACAATGTCCAGCAAACATAAACTCCTCACGAGTGTTCCTGTCATTGAAACATTCCTTGACTATTTGCTATTAGTTCTTCCATTGTATTGTCCTGTCAGCGGATCGAGGGACCAGCTTTCATCATGCAGCAGATCATTGACCAGAGGTTGAATCATCGGATCATCGGAACAGCCAATCATGGGATCAGCGCGGATCACAGCGGTGTCAGCGGATCATTGGATCAGCGGACCGTCGGACATCAGATCAGCGGCGGGGCATGATGTGCAGCGCATCATCGAAAGACAGCGGGTCACTGGATCAACGGATCCAGAAGACTTCTGACCGATGAGCGGATCGGGTCCCTCCAGTAGTTCGTCGGATCGAATGGAATTGAGCTTAGCGATTGTATGTCTCGACTTTGGTACAGGCAGACAAAAGGCAATTCGATTCATTCCTCTCAAAGCGCGTGTGAGGGACAGGCCCAACGTCGCCTGAATGAAAAGGAGATGAGGTGAACAAGGCCTCAGGTGAAACGCACGAGGCGGCGAGACAGGTGAGACAGAACAAGAGTCCGGCTCTAGGCAGGTCTTCTCCAGCGGAGAGTAGATTCCACCAACGGAGAAGCGCATCTTACAAGACAGGCAACACCTTGCAACATTTGCATTCGAATGATTTCAGACATCAGACCTTGGTAATGGTTTTTTGAATGCAGGACCAAATCGCTCGATGAACATTTGGCCAAATCCAGGATCTGGCCAAAGAGCGAGGCAAAAACACAAGCAAATTAGTGGCCAAGCTGTTGATGCTCTTGCGAAATTGGACAGATGTGAAACACATTGGCTGCTCAATTGCGAAAAGACTGCCGACCAGCAGTGAATGGATGCATTTGAGACCATCTGCATTCGCAGTGCAAGCCATCACTGCTTTGCACTGCACAAAAAAGTGGCCACGCAGTTGATGCTCTTACGTGGGTAGAAATGCCTGCTCTAAGCGTTGACTTGATATTTGAGCAAAACCGCCAATTCGATGCAGGACCAGACCTTGCACTTTTATGTCACAGGGACTGGTGACTCGTTGAACAATGGGTTGGGATCAACACATGTCTTTGTGCATGAGAATTCCACTGGGTGTCGGAAACTACCAGTATCGACGCTCTCCAAACAACATACCATTTGTGGTATTGTATTTCGTTCAGACAATTGCCATTCTATTTTGTTTCACAAAATACCACCAACACAAGTCCTTGTTGCAGGACAGGAAGGTTTGTGGGCAATTTTCCGACCTGCAGAATCAGGCTACGCCTCATCCAGCTCACATTTTGTCCAAGGTATCACAAATAACAAAATGTCCACTGTGGAACTGTGGATTGGCTATCTACACTAGCTTGCACAAACAACCTATCAGCGATGGACCCGAAGTTCATTGTCACCATTATGTAACACACCTCTTGGACTCTTGGATTCTTGGTTTTCAAAGTTGGCACGTGGCTTGCAGGAAACCTTTGTTTAGACCAGCAAAGGATGACACTTCACTCAAGTCATGATGTGTGTAAAAAATGACGCAAGTGCATGATACCAACTCAGTATTGAACAGGTCGGGCCATCAAAAAAAGTAAATATTTAAAATTCCCTTCACTGCGTTGGCCACTGCGAGCCGCCTTGGCAGGGCTGAAACAAGTGACTTCAATCCACTCTGTACATGTCACATCTATGTGCATAACAGGATGTAAAAATGGTTGACACCCTGCATTGAAACTTGACGAAATGAGTCATGTTTCACCACTTGCTAGGTAGATATCACCATCTTCTAGGTGATCACAGACAAGGTCATCTACCTTTCTTTGCGCTACATTTTGTAGCTCTCGTTCCAGTATCCTTTGATACGATTTCTACAAATGAGTTTTGCCAATTCTTTCTCCTGATACGTGGTTCAGTTGGTTCACGCATCATCATCAGTCCATCAAAATTGTATTCCATGCATCTGCAAACAAATTCATTCGTTGTGCACTTTTGCCCTGGTTCAGATGGTTTCACAGTATTGAATCCCAAACCATGAGTGGTCCTGTGGTTCAGACGGTTTCACAGGCCACTCACCACCAAAGAAATTTTTTTTGTACTCCCGGGGGAAGTAAATTGGCCAATTTGAGGGTTTTGGAGGCCAGATTCAGCTTCTGCAGTCCTTCTTCTTTTCTGCAAATGAAGCTTCAAACATGGCTCATCGGAGGGTGAATAAGAGACTATCAATGCACAAGGGTGTGTCAGCTGCTTTTTTGGGCAACTCTGATGGAGGAGATTGGAGTTCCTTGAGTGCATAGAGGTTCTACACAGTTGGAGATCAAGCCTCGTCTGAGATCCACCCATAGGCCTTGATCGGCGACTTGAGGACACAACAGTTGAAGATCAGCCCAGTTTCCTGCCTCCAGTTCCCTCTCCAGTTCCAGTTCTCTCCCCCAGTTTCTTGTCCTGAGTTCCCTGTCCCAAGTTCCCTGTCTCCTTTTTTTTTCCACGAGTACGGACGCCGTGTGGGCATGGTGCCCAGGTCATCGTTGAAGGAAGGGAAGAACAGTCTGATGGTGGAGAAAAGAACAAGGACAACCAAAACAACCCAAAACCAAACAACCCACAGCCCGCAGGCCGAGTCTCCACCATCATGTAGTCTTTCCTCTGTGCTAGGTGAAACAAGCGAAACGAAAACTAATGACTAGCAATGGGCCTGAATTCACGAACGAAAAGCATGTCGGCGCAGGTCTGTGCTCTAGCAAAGTCTCCAAAAAGGCTTCAAATGGACTTTACTTCATGATTACAAGTGACCAGCGGCCACACCACGGTGCGGCAAAAACATGGTCACGATGCAGGTCAGGAGTATCGCAATGCTCCAGTGCCGGTTGCGTCCATGTCAAAATGGAGTAGCGTAGCTATGCTGCATGCCGTGGAAAAGACCTTTCTTGTAGCACAACCCGTGCAACTGGTTGCACTTACAAGTCCAGAGGCATGTTACCAGGCGGTGATCGAACAGTGGCGGCCATAGCAAACGACGAAAGCCTGCAGGTAAGGGTGCGAAAGGGCACACCCCCCCGAAGGGAGGTCAACTCAGCACCCTTCGGCACACAAAGGTGCCAAAAACAAAAAAGGGGTGTTTCCTAAATCCGTGAAGTGCTGCGTCATTGCAAAAAGTGATCTGCTGCGTGCAAGGCCCGTGTGAAACAGGTGAAACTTTGGACTAACCTAGCATGGTATCTGTACCTCTTTGTACAAAATTGGAAATGTCGGACATCAACAAAGGGAACTAAGGTTCCCCCTGGGCATCCTCCATTGCCACTCTCTACCACCCGCCTGTTAGGAACGAGGAGCTAAGGCTCTCATTCCTATTGGCTCACAGCGTTGCGAATGGCGAAAAGAGGTCGGTGATCCTACTTAGCGCTTGCCGTAACTTGCTGGCGGTGTGCTTATCCACCATTCCAGCTGCGAACACATTGCTGATCTTTGCAGGTCTGGAGAGTCTTCTTCCCTTTGATCACTGGCATCTGTCGACAGCTCTCGGCGCTGCCTAGACTAGACGGGTAGCCCACTTTTGTCAAGTACTCATGTCCTTCGCTATGTGTTGTTTTTTCCTTGCTTGCACCTTGCTCAAAAGTGCGTGCTGCCTGCAAGAGCGCATAGCGCCATGGTACTCAGGGATGGAACCTCCTATGGAAGGGTACTCTGAAGAAAGGCTTGTTTTGCGATGATCCTCAGCTCCCCTATGGAATTTGGCCTTGTATGGCTTCTGGCCTACCTGGACTCGCGCTAAGGCGTGCGCCCAGACTCTTAATGAGTAACTGTGAGACCGCGATAGCTGTGGCCAGAAAGGCTTGTTTTCATCCAAGACCAGGGGTATATCCCATGTCCGGGATCATATGCAGCCAGGGTGGCCATCTCATAGCAGGACAAATGGCGAAAGCATTTTCTTCAGCATAGACTCCTCGCCATTTGTGCCTTCCTGGCATTTTGGCAAGCCTCTTAAAAACAGTGCAATCCAAGAAAGCCCTACTTCCAATGTATCTTAGTGAGGGCGGGATGGCAAGCTCAACTAGGGCTGCACAGTTCATAAAGGCTTTGACTCGGATTGTATGGAGAGTAGTCGGAAGGAGGACTTCTCTGAGGCTGGTGCAGTGCACAAAGGTGAATTCCGGAATTTCCTCCACATTGGTGTTGCAAAGGTCTACACTCTTGAGCAGTCGGCAACTGTCGCACGCATGCGCTCCAATAGCTACAAAATGCTTTGTGAGAGCGAGTGAAGTGATTCCCGTAGAGCTAAGACAGCCCGGCGCTAGCTCACTGGTCCTAGCTTGCAGTGCTGA